GCTAATCGCCCTCTCCTCAGCTGAAGCAGAATATATCGCACTCTGCTCAACCACCAAGGAAGGACTATACCTTCGCGAACTACTGGAAGAAGCGAAGGCTGGCTCAGTTACCCAGCTTCTCTCTGTTCTGCGACAACCAGTCTGCAATTCGCATCGCGAACAGGACGAAGCACATCGCCCTGCGATATTTCTTCATGAAGGGACGAGATCGAGAAAGGAAGACTCGAGCTGTCATACTGCCCCACGTCCGAGATGGCAGCTGACTACTTGACCAAGAAGCTCGGAAAGCAGAAGTTCGAGTACTGCATGCTGCTGACTGGACAGAGCCACGTCACTAGCAGCGACACTCCAGAAGCGAAGGGGAGTGTTGGAAACAAGTAATTTGAACGCTTCTGTTGTGTGTCGAAACACTAAGTCGTAAACGAGGTGAAGCACAGCGAAGCATCGGCGAGTCAACAGTTGGAGGTTGAGAAGTGAAGAAACCGCTGGAGGTTACGCGAAAGTCAAAGGTCAGCGACCTTTGACCTGACAAAGTACAGCGCGACAGCAAGGACAAACAACTGACTCGCTATTGAGCAATTGCCCGAGTCGTCACTGTATCGAACCGCAACAGCAATAGTAAAACAGTTACTAGTTGCATCTTTTCATATTCCTTGTACTCTTATGAAAAGCCTTGTATCTCTTTGATTAATCAATCTACTTTGTCCTCACATACCAGCGCAAGGTGGTTCAAGACTTATCATTATACGCTTCCGCATTTACAACAAGTCCTACCCAGAGTTTAGCCTTGCAATGATCCTAAGGGCTTTTTCTCAGCCCACCAGTCTCGAGGTCATAAATATCGTACGGCAAAGCCTCCATTATTATAAACGGAAACAGTGGAATAGTATGATTGGCAAGCATGGGTGATACAAGTATGAACCCTAAAATTGCTACACCCTCTATAGCATGCCTCACTACAGCCTACAACGACAAAGGTACAGTATGACACACCCCCAAAAACTAAGTCAGGAACAATAGAAGAGAGCAACAAACACATATGATCGCAAGACCGGTCAACAGAAGCAACAACACGAAGCTCGGTGTTGATCATGAAGTCACCATATAGTATGAGGACAAGCAAACAGCCAAGGCCAGTTCAAGGGTTCGCAAATATATAGAAATGCATGAACAAACAGCAAGAGATAAGAGACAAGAATACATCTAACGAGGATCTGTCTCGACAAGGCCTAACCACAGACAGAACGGATGGTGGTCCCCAGGCTAAGGGCCTTGATGAGGATGTCTGCAGTGTTGGCCTCTGAGGCCATGAAGTCCAATCGTGCCTGGTCGCATCCCTGCAGCTCTCGCAGGAGAAAATACCTCACATCGTGGTGCTTCACTCTGCACTCCAGTCGAGGCTTGCAACACAAAAAAATTATGACCATGTTGTCAGCGAACAAGGTCAGTGCAGAGCGAGGCCGCTCAACGAGGTCGGTGAGAAAGAAGGTTAACCTAACGGAGCTCCTGCGCAGCCATGGTACCGGCATAGATCTCTACTTCTGCGCCAGACTATGTCACAGACGACGACGACCATGTAGACCTACACGGCACAGCCCCAGCACCCAAGCTGAAGTAGTAACCTTGAGTAGACCGATAAGTCAGCGTGTCGTCGGCATAGGAAGAGTCGCAGTGACTGGTCAACACAAATGGCTGTGTCCCTCCAAGCACAAACCCTATGCTTGATGTAGTACCCAAGAACCTTGTCACCTTCACAGCAGTCGCCCAGTGCAGAGGACGGTGTCTCCTAGTTGCAACAAGCAAGAGAGGACGCTGAGGGGAAAGCCGAGTTCCAGGCGAATACAAGCCATCAGGTATATGAGGTAGACCACAAGCTCTGCGTAGGGACCATTTGGACTCAAAGGGCTCGTCGGGAAAAGGGCCAGTGAGTCAATGCTCAACGGCAAGAGGAGTGGGCTGTATGGTGGAGTGCTGTAGCTCGAACCGTTGAAGGACATGCTGCACTATGTGTAACTTGCTGTTGACGGTGCGAGCGGCTCTGTCCCTGGTGATCTACAAGGCAAGGTAGCGCCGAATTTCACCCACGTCACTGCATGTGTGTGCGAGGAACAAAGAACTGGTTCATAAATAATAAATGATCACATGGATACAACACGAGGCTATATATAGGCTCGACACAAGGCCAGTAACCCGGGTGTTACTCGAAGATTCCGCGGGTTGCGAAGCGTCCCGAAATGGTTCTTCCCGAATTCGGTAGAAGGCTCTCGGAGGCAACCGAAAAGCATAGAATTCGGTGCATGCTAACTATCCGGTGCCACAGGACTGTCGGATGGGTGAGCGACCAATAGGAGCACGACTTACCAACCTGACCAGACACAGCTACCTGGGAAGACGAAGTGTGCGGTGTGAAGAGATCGAAACAGACTGCCCCCCCGGCTAAACGTGGCCAGTGAAGCATAGGTGTTACCGTCGACGCAGGTCCCATCACGCTCAGTTGGAGGAAATACAGACGCTGACTGTGGCGGTCCTGAAGGTATCCAACACCTACCAAGTTTTTGGAGAACGGAGGGATGTGAAAACCATTGAGGACATCAGAGGGAACAGCTGGATAGAGGGAGGGTGGTAGAGCTGCGTGCAACTGCTGGTCCTGAAATAGGATCAGCCACTACAACCGTAACCGAAGCAAAGAGCAGACTGAGAGTCGTGTGGTCGAGAAAGAAGCATTAGATGCACCAGAGTCCAGCATGAAAGACAGCGACGCCTCAGCCGAAGGTGCACATGGGCTAGTAGCTATATAAGCACATTGGTTAGAACAAGCACCTATACAAACACGCCAAGAATATAGAACACCAGCACGCGAGCAAACATATCCAGCAGCACTTCCACACCAGCACACATCACAGAGGCAGATTGCACCGCACCAAACAAAAATACTGCAGGCATCTGAAACAACGACGGACCAAGAGAACAAGTGAGCAGGGCGCAGTCCGAAAAGGGGCCATCACCATACTCTGCGCGAAGGCAGGTCGTGAGCTGCGCAAAGCACCATCCATGAGGGTAAAAGCGGTCATTGGGGTGACTGCTAGGTGTCCCAGTCTGGATAAGGTATTGGCACAATGAAGGTGGAATACCACGGGACACCCAGGTGGACGAGCCACTGCCATGCCCAGCGCCCCCAGGTCCACCAGATCCCCACTGCTGGGGCTGCTGCTGTACCTGCCGTGGAACTTGCTGTTGCGGCTGTCCCTGTGGCTGCGGCTGTCCCTACTGCTGCTGCGGTCCCTGGTGTGGCTGCTGCTGCTAGGCCTGCAGTTATTGTGCTGCCGCCGCACGCACCAAACAACTGCTCCAGGACCCCCTCGAGTTAGGCCCACAAGCCCAGCGCCACCATCAGTACCACCTCCATTCGACGCGCTAGTATTGACCCCACCTCCGCGACCCCCTACATCACACCCTCTGCCACCACCGACGCCAACACCCCTTCTCCCTTTCTTACCTCCCTTGCCCCCGGCAACGGACACGGCTGCAGTCTCGTCAAAAGCAAGAGACACAGTACATGCAAGAAAAGCATTAAAGGTGGGGAGCTGTGGAACAGTATATTCCTGAAATACCGGGGGAACTACGGCGCTAGAAGCAGCGGCAACGGAGCGTTTGTTGCTCTCGATCTCCTTGGGTGCTGACTCAAGGACGTCGATAGTGAGCATAGTTGGGTGCTTCCGGAGAAGCGCGCCTCGTACAAGTGTAAGGCGGTCAGGGAGGCAAAAGGCTGTGAAGTGAATAATGATAGGCATTGGCACTGGGGGGATTGCAAGCTCAGCCTCAATGTAAGAAGCACGGAAACTAGAGTCACGCGAGCACAGGTGGGTGATAAGGTCAGGTGTGCATGCAAACGTTCCGAGGTCAAGAAACAGTAACAACATGAAGAGGCGACCGAGCGAGGCGGAGCAGGGAGTGGAGTAACGGGTCTTAATTACATCAAAACAGGGATGGGCAGATCGAACCTGGCTGAAGTGTGCCTCCTCAGATTTGGGGAGAAGGTTGCCGAGGGCGATACGAGTTGCAGCATCACGAGACTACCACACCGACAGGGCAATGTGGGCAATGTAGGCTCCGCAGGCAGGTCACGAAGGCGAGGAGGCGAACGCAGGTCACCAGAGACCTGCGCCCAGAATGTGTTGCCATCCTAGCATTGGCAAATGTAGGTAAAACTCTGTGCGGAGGAGCTAGGCGGGGAACTCTAGTGCCCTACCCTCCGCATCGAAAAGTAGAGGGCGTAGGACTGTCATGCCTAGTGTTCGACGAGACTGGGAGCAACGAGCTGCGAACGAACGAAGCACAAGACGAGCAAAGCCGGGGGGGGGGGGGCGAGCCTAGGAATGGTTGGAGCAAGCGGCGAGGAGAGCCAGAGAGGCTAGTCTAGAGACGCGAGACACAAAGAGGTACTGACCCTAATCTACCATAAGAAGGGCAACTGTTTCTGCCAGCCGCCGCGGGGAACGCCGATGGCAGTAGGTACGTATGGGGCAACGGGCGTGGGTGCGAGACGAGTTGGAGAGCAGGTTCTAGTGCGCCGACAGGCACATGTGCTATTGGCGCTGTGCAAGTGGCCGCTGTGAGAGCAGGGATGCAGGCGCGACGGGCTAGGGCTGGGACAGGCTGCACTCGCAGGCAGCTGGGAGTGCGCAAGCAGCAGGGTGTGTGCAGTGGCATGCGCGCGGTTGCGTGCGGGCAGAAGCGCCTGCGCGGCTGCGTGCGTGCGCTAACGGGCTGCGGGTTGCGCATGGCTGATGCATGCTGTGAGTCTTACGGGGCAGGGAGGGTGTGCCGTACAAACACGTGTCTGGTCAGGACGTGCTAAGGGGCGAGGCAGACTATTCCTTGGCGGCGGCCGCCATGTTTTATGACATTGCTCCCCGGGCCGGGCATCACTCCAGGCCGAGCCTCTCTCCCGGGTTTTGCACCTGGTCGTCGTTACCAATAGGCTATTTCTCTTATGCTCGATGCCGGCGTCAAACCCGGCTCACTCCCTTCCGGTGAACGTTGCCGCGCAGCTTAAGCTGTCATCCGACGACCCCGTCCCGCGCCAGCCGTACAAAAGGGCTGGTGCAAGCAGCTGATGCTCTACGCACTAGTTTCGTAGACAGCTTCTACTCTCGCCACAAATGTAATCAGGTCCCACTGCTGCATTGAAGGCGCCGCCGCTTGCTGCGTTCTAGGCGCCGCTTCTCGTCGATCCAAGGCTCTTTTTAAGCGATCACACCACCTACTAATCCCAGACCTGCCGTTGCCGGACCTGCCTCCGGAACCACCTCCGGGCCTACTGCAGACCTACTACTGCCAAGCCTGTTTGATGGCGTCCGTAAAGTCGAGCCCCATCCGTCTCCCCATCCTACTGCTACTGCTGCTCCTCCTCGCAGGTAAGCGGCATGCTACCAGCGAGCAGGGCTTTGAACCTTACAATTCTATATCAAGCATTTACCTTGAGCACGTCCCTCACCGCGCCCTGAGCAACATGGTGTGCGGTGATGTGCTGTGCTGTGATGTGCTGTGTGGTGTTGTGCTGTGTGGTGTTGTGCTGTGCAGTGTTGTGCTCTGCGGTGATGTGCTGTGCGGTGATGTGCTGTGCTGTGATGTGCTGTGCGGTGTTGTGCAGTACGGTGTTGTGGTGTGCGGTGCTGTGCTGTGCGGTGATGTGCTGTGCGGTGTTGTGTTGTGCGGTGTTGTGCTTTGCAGGTAATGTGCTGTGCGGTGATGTGCTGTGCTCTGCGGTGATGTGTTGTGCGGTGTTGTGCTGTGCGGTGTTGTGTCGTGTGGTGTTGTGCTGTGAGGTAATGTGCTGTGTGGTGTCGTGCTGTGCGGTGTTGTGCTGTGCGGTGTTGTGCTGTGCTGTGCGGTGTTGTGCTGTGCGATGATGCGCTGTGCGGTGTTGTGCTGGCATGTTCGCTGGACACTTTGTGGACCGCCATCCGCATTGCCTCCCTTACAGTGAGCCCCATTTTCCTGCCATCCAACTTGCCCGTTTCAGAATTGCTTATTTCGCGTCCACACCCACGCGGAACCCCATGCACCACCCACGCGGAACCCCATGCACCACCCCACGGTGAACCCACCAACCTATGCTCTTGATATTGCTAACAAATTGCCAATTCGTATGCCCTCTTGCTTCTCTCGCTCCCTCCCCTGGTGTGAGCGGCAGGGCGCCGAAACGGTGGTGGTTGGGTGGAGGTTCCGGTGCTGGGATGGGATTCCATTGTGAAGACGTGGGTGCCTGCTAAGTCTGCTATAAATTCTCTTCTCTCGCGCTCTCTCTCGTGCTCTCTCTCGTGCTCTCTCCTCCCCTCTGTACCGGCAGGATGCCAAGACGGTGGTAGTGGGGTGGAGGTTCAAGCGCTGGGATGCGAGTGTGAAGACGTGGTGCCCACCCCGTCTCAGCTATGGTGACACAGCTGGTCAGCTCCTTCTCCTGCTGCTGCTCCTGCTCCTCTTGCTCCTGTTGCTCAATCTTTTGCTGCCGCCTGTCTCCTTTTCACTCCAACCCCCCCCTCCCCCCCTCCCTCTCTCTCGATCTCTCTCTTTCTCTCTTCACCCCCCTTGCCTTCTCTCTCCTTTCCCCCCCTTCTCTCTCCACCCCCTCTCCTCCTCGCTTCTCCCTATAACCCCCAGCACCAATCTCTCTCTCCATCCATTTTCCCACCTCATTTCTCCATATAACCCCAAGCCCCATCTCTCTCCACCCCGTTTCCCACGGTGGTTTGCGTGTGCATAAACCCGCGCCGTTGTATAGTGTACTGTCCTATCCGTTCACTCGTCTCTCCGCTGCACCACGTAGGTGACCTTTCAGTCGACTCAAAAGCCACGCTGGTTTTTGTTTGCATGAGCCCGTGCCCTTGTGTGCCAGCCTATCCATGCACTCGCCTCTCCCCTGCCCCGCGTGCCCGGGTCCCTGCAGTGTTCCAATGGAATGACTGGCGGCGCAAGCACAACGTGGTGGCTATTGGCTCCGTGGGCTAGGAGCTGTGTTACTTCTATGGCACACCGAGTGAGGCGGTCAAGGTGCTGGCCAAGGAGGCGCATCAGGGCACGTACACACACACGTTGGTTCCCCCGGGGGGCCGTCAGCCTTCTTCGTTGTTCACCAGCAGTGTGGGGAGCGACTTTCTCAAAGGCATGATGTCTTGGCACCTCCGGGCCTTTGAAGCGTCTCCAGTGGTATAGGCCGCGTGATTGGGGAGGAGCAGAGCAGGTCAGGGCGTGGCTAGTGGTTTTGGTATTGTTCTCCTAGTGGTCCGAGTGTCGCTATTTGTGGCGTTTTGCTTTGTCAGAGTGTTTGTTACGGTACCGTACCGGTACCGTAGTCTTTGTGCCTGCAAGGTTCATGAACTTGCTCATCGCCAGTACAATAGACCGCAATAAGGTACGGTACTACGGTATGCGCTTGGACCTGGTGCATTTCACATCCTGTTGGCCTGGTGTTCTGTATCATCCGTGTTCTCGCTTCAAAAGACATGTTACATTAATTGAGCCCAGGGACACGCGTCCCCATATGCATGAATTTACCGTACCTTTAACCAGACGAGTGGACTGTACCGTATGTGGCAAAAAAACTCTTGGTCCCCACCCCATTCCAGAGGACAGTCTGGTCTGGTGGCAATCACCACCTCCCCTCCCCTCCCCCTCTCCTTCCCCTTCCCATCACTCCCCATCCCACCTCCCTTCTCTCCCCTTCCCCCACCACCATCCCCTTTCATCCCAACCCACCCTCCTCTCCACCTCCACTCCACTCCCCCCTCCCCACACGCCCCATGCCGCCTCCCAAAAACGAGTACACAGCCGTGTAACCGACCGCTCTGATGAACGTGAATTGGATGTGGAATCACGGGGCAGATTAGTGTGCCAGGAGGGTGGGGGTGACTGCACTTAACTGCAAGAGAGTACCGTAGTTGTGTATCGAGTCGAGGGTCATCCCTACTTGGTGAGGGAGAGATGAGTTCCGTATAACAAGCCACTGAAAAATAGTGCACCACCAACAGATGTAACTACCGTATTACCCCGGATAGTAGCGCATATGCGCTTATAATAAAGTCAGTTTTTTTTAGGGGGGGCGCTTGTAAATGAGTAACGGGCATAAGCGCATGCACTTATAAGACGGGAAAATGAAATTAATTTCTAAAGGCACCAAATCGAAGCTCTCCTTAAGGTGAACACAGCCGAACGTTCGTTCACATGGGATCGTGCACGGAATGTAGGGGAAATCAACCGCGACTCGGTTTCCCACCACACATTCACGTCCAGAAGTTGCGCACCTGCCTTTGCTGACTCGCATCCTGCCGTACGGCCCAATCGCATTGTCATGTGCCTCATGGCAGTCGATTCCACCCGAATCCTCTAGAAGGGGGTGGAAACTTTCCTGCCATTGCTGACGCAAATCCTGCCGTGCGGTCCAATCACAGCAGGATGCGTTGCCATGCAGGCAAATTCCAGCCGAATGTCAAGTTTATATGCTATAGTCTATCTAGGCTGTAGTGGGGTAGATACTATAGGGTACAACATTTCTAGGTTTCCTACTTGTACCCACATTTTGCCTAGTCATTCCATTTCCTCATTTCTTCACATGGTATAGAGCAGGTTCCCTAGTGGGAACGCTTCCTTGGGCCCACCACTGATTTTTTTTTTTTTTTTTTTCTGACCGAAGCGCGAGTCGCCCCTGCCCGAGGCGCGCCTCGTGGGCCGCCCTCTCGTTGCGTCCCCTGCCCCTAGAGGCCCGTCGCGCCCCTCTAGAGGCCCCTCTCACGGCCCCTTGCGCCACCCCTAGCAGCCCCGTCGCCGCCCTTAGCGGCCCCGTCGCCGCCCCTAGCGGCCCTGTCGTCGCCCTTCGCGGCCCCGTTGCCGCCCTTTGAGGCCCCTCGCGGCCCCTTCGCGGCCCCGTTGCCGCCCCTAGCGGCCCCGTCGCCGCCCTCCGCGGCCCCGTCGCCGCCCCTAGCGGCCCCGTCGCCGCCCCTAGCGGCTCTGTCGCCGCCCTCCGCGGCCCCGTCGCCACCCCTAGCGGCCCCGTCGCCGCCCCTAGCGGCCCCGTCGCCGCCCTTCGCGGCCCCGCCGCTGCCCCTATCGGCCCCGTCGCCGCCCTCCGCGGCCCCGTCGCCACCCCTAGCGGCCCCGTCTCCGCCCCTAGCGGCCCCGTCGCCGCCCTCTCGCGGCCCCTGTGCCGCCCTCTCGCGGCCCCTGTGCCGCCCTCTCACGGCCGCGTCGCCGCCCTCTCGCGGCCCCGGTGCCGCCCTCTTGCGGCCTCGTCGCCGCCCTTAGCGGCCCCGTCGCCGCCCCTTGCGGCCCCTTCGCCGCCCCTAGCGGCCCCTCCCCGGCCCCTCCCCGGCCCCTTCACCGCCGAGCCGCCGAGCCGCCGAACCACCGAGCCGCCGAGCCGCCAAGCACCCGAGCCGCCGAGCCGCCGAGGCCGCCGTCGAGCCGCCACTACCAAACCGCTGCCGCCGAGCTGCAATCGAGCCGCTGCCACCGCGGTTGCAGCCCTGTTCCTACCGGCGCGCCCCGGCCTTACCCACCCGGACTAGTGAGAGCACTCCCTGCTAGACCACTGCTGTCATGGCTACCCCCAGTGTCCTTACCTTTGATGTTGAGGGTCGTGCTGTTGACTTTGAGGTCTGGGTCGATGACCTACAGCTCTTCATACAGTGCGATAGGACAAACGGACTCTCCCTGTTCGATCTCACCTCTGGTGCCTCTCCTGCCCCGCCTGGTGATGCTGACAGCACTGTTCGCTCACAGTGGGCTACACGCAATGCTGCTGCCCGTCTTGCTGTACGTCGCCACTTACCGACCACTGAGCGTGCGCACTTTAGTCAGTACAAGAGTGCTAAGACCTTGATGGCGAGTGTCGATTAGCAGCAGCATTGGAAGTGTTGCAAGCTGGCTGGGATGGCTCTGAACTGAGAGAGCAACATATCCTAAGGCCAACAATCCGAGGGGAAGTTTGTTGGTGCAACCCTACGGTTTGCACTCGGCTTGTTGTCCGTGTGCGTGCATGTGTGTGTGTATGGAATGGTATGAGGGCATGGGATAATATATATTTCATGCTTATAGTTGTGTGTGAATGTTGAGTCATGATGTCGAGTGTGTGTGTCGAGTCAATAGCGAGTTATCGCTAGACGCGTGTTACGCGGTCGTTTGTGTCTCGCACGCGGTTTCTATTTTGTCGTGCGCGGTTTCTATTTTGTCCTGTGTCGAACGTTCGGCGTGTCGCAGGTGTGTGTAGAAGACCCATCAAGAAGTCAAGGATGAGTTTGTGATGAAGAGCCCGAGCCTTGGTGTCAAGCCTCAAGTGATTTTGAAGCTCGCCAAAAGGGTACACCTCAAGATATCGAAGATAGTTACATTACTTTGTGTAGTGTAACATTTCACTTGGTGTAGGCCCTAGTGAAGAGTGGTTTCGAGACCCTTCGTGGTTGGGGACAGTGTGGCACTGTTCCACATCACTGTACCTCGGCTCTTGGGGTTTGTAGGAGCTGGGAGTCATTCCCAACTCGTAACTCTTCCTAACTCTTCCTATCTTGTGTTCTAAGACTATGTTGCTGCCATAGTGCTGTTCGTTCAAACCGACGTTGTGTCGTCAATACTTGGTCAAATCGTGCGATCTAAATTGCCTAGTGTAGGCAACAATAAGACGCTCCAGATCCAAGTTGAATCAAGACATTTGATGTTGTGATCAGAACGCTATGAACGTTTGAAGCCGCTGTGCAGAAATCCGACTGTGCACTCTATCTTTCGTTTTAGGCACATTGGAGCCTACTGTGACTATAACAAGTGGTATCAGAGCCCCTTGGAGCAGTTTCGACAATGGCTGGACCTGAGGAAAGGGGTGGCAGAGGTGTTGGTGGCAGAGGAGAAGCCCAAGCTCAAGGCCAACCCCGTGATTCAGCCATGGCGCCTGTGCAACCAAGTGTTGGCCCATCTAGGGATGAGCCTAGAGTGTTTGGCCTTGACAAGTTCAATGGTGACAACTTTGCTGAGTGGTCCTTCAGAATGGAGAACATATTTGACCACTATGATCTGCTGGAGGTAATGGAAGGAACGGAGAAGCGTCCCGAGAACGACCCGGAGAAGAGCCCGTGGGTGCGGAAGAGCGCACAAGGCTACCTCCTACTTGGGCAAGCGTTGGGGAGCAGCCAAATCCGTCACATCAAGCCTTTCCAGCATGAACCAGAGAAGGGACCAAAGGCATGGGCTGCTCTCAAGGGTGTACACGCTCCTGCAACAGCGGCGGTAGCTGTGGTGTTGGAACGGCAAATGGCGACACTACGAATTGAAGAGGATGAAGCGGTTGAAGAAGGGGTGCAGAAATTCTTCGACTTGTTGACGCGGCTTGAGGGAGCTGATTTGAACTATAGTGAGCTCCAAAAGAAGACCAAGTTGCTGGCCCTACTCCCTGAGTCATGGTCCTCGCTCATCATCAACCTTAATCGCGACTTGCCCCGCCTCTCGCTTGAAGACGTGAAGCGAGCTATCCTTCAAGAGGATTTCCGCCGCCGTGAGTTGGCGAGTGCGGATGGCGCTGGGGCAGCGAGCATCGGCCGTGGATATGGTCAAGGAAGAGGTAGAGGACCAGGGGGAGGAAGGTTTGGTGGCAGCAACTTCGGCGGAGGCCGCGGGAGTGGCGGTTACGGCAGCGACGACAAGAGCTACGGACGCGGTCGCGGCCGATTCGACGTCGAGTGTCACTATTGCCACAAGAGCGGACACATGTGGCGCGACTGCTTCAAACTCCCTGATGGTTGGACCCCTGCTCAAGGCCAAGAGGGTAGAGGAGCAGGAGGAGGGAGAGGAAGAGGCCGTGGAGGCCGTGGCGGTCGCGGTGGCGGAGCTGCAAACATGAAGAGCGGAGACAACGACAAGGACCCGAGCAACGATCGGTACCCGGGTCTATTCTACTTCGTGTCGACGCAATTACCGACTGGTCCAGAGAAGGATGAAGGCTTTGAGGAGCCAGCAGCTGTGGGGAAGGT